CAAAAGACACGGTGTGATACCCAAGCACATATAAGATGCATTGTGATACCACTGTGTTACATCTCCGATCGACCACACAAACGACCTCAGTGTGATACACAAGCATATATAAGATGCATTGTGATACCACCGGAGGACGGAGGGAGAAGAGAGAGAAGAGAAAATACCTGAAATGTTCTTGCATTAAAATTTTAATTCAAAATTTTCAAAATTATAAATTTCATAATTTATCTATTGATTTGTGATTGAGATTGGACCCCACGGTTACCACAAAATAAAGTGTCCTATCTAAAGACATTATAATAAGTTTATATGCGTTTTTTTTATGTCGTAATAAGTTTTTTAGGACACTTTTAATATAAAGCGTCCCATTATCAACTTTATAGGATACTATTTGAAAAATTGTCCTATAAGAAAAATGTCCTATTAAAATTTGAGTTTATAGGACACTTTCTCAAAAAGTGTCATATAAAGTTGCTAATGCGACATTTTGTATTAAAAATGTCCTAAAAAACTTGTCAAGACGCCCAAAAGCGTCATATAAACTTATTACAACACCTTTAGATATGACGTTTTATTTATTTGCCCTATAAATCAAGTCCTATAAAGCGTTCTATTGGGACACTTAAAGATTGAAGGTGTTATATAAACCCAATTTTGTTGTAGTGCATAGTCCCTATTAAATCCTACCCCTATATCTATATACTTCTAGACTCACTTACATGTTTTTTTCCCCTAGTTATATTTGTTATTCTTATGTATGTATGCATGCATGCACATGTAGGTAGGGAGGTATGCAAGTATGTATATGGTGCTACAAATGGTATTGTACCATATGAATTGTATGGTAAACCTCATCTCAAGCATGATGACTTTCTAAGAGGAGTATTTGTATCATCTTAGATGAATCGTACATTATCAATCTAAATGAGGAGATTGGTGGGTTAGACATGAAACGTGGTGTGACGACGAGGCCAAGATTCAAGCCTTAGGAGCCACGGTGACGTCATGATGTTTTTCAAGGCGTGATTTATGGTGGCAAATATGTATATTATATAACATAATTATAGGGGTTTGTTCAAATAAGAAGACTAAATATCGTGAAAATGTAAGAAAAAAAGATTAAGTAATCCGAAAAGAATCAACTTGAAGATTCATATATGAATTAGTGTTTCAAATTATTCATATGAGTTTATATATGCATCTTCAAATTGATTTTTTCAAATATTCACATATAAATCTTCCCTTCTCACGATTCAAACAATAATGCTAATTATTTAAGAGAATACTAAAACGGTCAAATCACATGTAATTTTACATTAACAGTCGAAAAAGTGTGTATGCAACCCTATGGCTGCGTCTTCAGGTTGCGCGGCAAGATCACGTGAATCACATGTGATGTTAGTGTAAAAATCACACGTTATATTCGACCATTCTCCTATTCTTTTAAATAGATATCATTATCGTTTGAACCTGACTCTCTCTCTATATATATACACATACACACATGTTTTTACTACCACTTAACAAGTCAGGTGATATTTAACAATTTAAATTAGGTTATATACTAAAAACTAAAAAGTAAAACACTAAAACGGTAAGAAAAATCAAATATCATGTTTACAAAAACCAAACACTAGACCATGGCGTGCCAAATACTTTTTTTTTTTTATTAACCTGGATATCCAACCCGCTATGCGAGCCGACTAATCCCAGGGCGACCACCTGCTTTGCAGATAGCCCGCAGTCACCGCATTTGAACCTCCGTAGCCACAAGAGGATTTTTATTTCTCCTTGGATTTGAACCTGAGATCTCCTGATACTTTTGACCTTTGGAGTCAAGCTCAAACCAATCAGATACCACCCATGTAGTTACGTGCCAAATACTTATTGTGACATGAGCTTTGAGTCACAGTACGTCACAACAGCTGCCGTTAGAGATGGCCAAATGGGCCCGGCCCGGCCCGTAGCCGCCGGAGGACCGGAACCGGCCCGGGACCGGTATGGACCGGTTGTGGACCGCCGGTTATGAACCGGTTATGGATTTTAATGTTTTCTAGGACCGAGACCGGTTAAGACCGGAACCGGTTATGTAACCGGTTATAGGACTGGCCCGGTCAACAAAAGTCAACGTGTATATATATAACAAAATGTATTTATAAAATTAAATGTATATATATACATATATAACAAAACATATTTTTAAATGTATTTATAAAATTAAACGTGTATATATATATATATATATATATAACAAAACATATTTTTAAACGTATTTATATAAAACATATTAAAAATAACATATTACAAACATATTAATAACATATTAAAAATTTATTAATAAACAAAAATTTGAAAAAAAAATATTTTTTTTTTTTGGTCGGGACCGGATGGGACCTGAACCGGGACCGGATTCCTTAACCGGTTACCGGTAAGCTTGACCGGTTACAAGGTATTTCACCGGAACCGGGACCGGTTACCACCGGTTTTTGTCTTGATTAGGACTGATAGGGACCGGTTAAAGACCGGCACGGGACCGAATTTTAGCCATCTTTAGCTGCCATGACGAGCCTTTTAAAACACAAACAAAACCCGAATATCATGATTATAATGTACACATTTAGAGGGTCAATTGACACCCTTTGTGGCCCATAAAATGGTAATGATTACAAGGAAGAAAGAGTTAGGGTGACAAGCCCTTTTTCCCACCCCATGCTTTGCCTACACCAAAAGCAAAAGTTAACTACTAATCACAATTCAAATCATCCTTTTTGTAGTGTTTTTTGTAGGCCAACATTCCTTTCTTTCCTCTATCATGAAAAAACCAGCTAAGCAATTGGTATGTATGGGCCACTACATGATGTGAAGGGGAGTTCACTTTGGGAACATTGTATCAACTCCCCAATTTAGGTCATAAAAAGACATGAAATTTTGATTGAATACCAATCTTTTAAGGCTAAAAAAGAGGTTTACAGTGTTGTTATCGTTAAGACGGTGTTAAAAACCGTGTCGTTCTAGATCTGGATATTCTTTAAGAATTGTTCCCAGAAGACGGCGGACACTGGAAAAGAAAGTTGGTATTAAGGGTTTGATTTGTTGGCCTTTGATATGTGTGTTAGACGATAGGAATGGCAACTGGCCAGGATCGGGCTGGTTATTGGTATCCCTGTATTTGAAACCGATAACTAAAACAGTTCATGTAATTGTCTCGATCACCGTGGTTCCCCTGATCCCCGTTGGGGAACCCGTGAAGAGTAAAAATCCATCTTTTCCCGTTGGTTCCCCCGTTCACCATTGGTTATATCCGAACCGATATGAAAAAAACTACAATATGTTAATTTTCACAACTAAAAGTAAATTACAATTTTTTTTAAGATGTAAGTCTAGATGTCTCAAACACACCCAAACCAATTTTAGAGTACAATATAAAAGTAAACAAAAATTCAAACATCGTACAACTAACATCACGCTCAAGATTAGACAAATAAACTAGACTTTTTCGTTAAGCCTTATTTGGGGTGTTGAGGTAAAGTAGATAAAAGTCGTTTAAATTTTAACGTTAGTATATTCTTTTAATGATATTATACATGCGATATTATACATGCATATGATCACTGCTCCCGCCCCCGTTAAAATCCCCGAATATATCTCCGTCCCGTCCCCGAACCCGACCCAAAAGTTTCGGTTTTCACCACTGGTTTCGGTTTTTTTTTTTTGCCATCCCTATCAGACGATGGTCCTTTGATGGTTGTGAGTTCAAATAACTTGGAGATGGAAGTCTTCTTTTGTTTTTTTGACGATAAAATAAGAGCAAACTCATGAGATTATTATATCAGATCAGAACAAGTTGATGGTATTTGTCTTTTTTACGTTGCCATGTGGCACCTATGACCCTTGCATACTTTGAATAAGCCACAAATAGTGGTTTCTTGGAAACGTTTGGATGTGTCGTTAAAATGGCAAATCGTGCCAAAAATACAAACGTAAAAAGGCGCATGAAAAAGAGAATATAAAAAGAATCCACCATTATGATGTTGTTCTTGTCTTGTCCATTTCGGTGGTCATCCCTACACCTCCATTACCTTAGCAACCTTCTAGATCATCACTGCAATAAAATTGAGTTTACAGGACGCCACCAATTTCAAAGTGTCTTATTAGACTGTTTTATAGGACCCAAAAATAAAGAGTTATATATAAAGACGTTATAATAAGTTTGTATGGTGTTTTTGGATGTCTTAATGAGTTTTTATAGGATATTTTTAGTACAAATAATCATAATAGCTATTTTATATGACACTTTTGAAAAAGGTGTCTTGTAAACCTGTCTTTTTATAGGACACATTTTCAAATAGTATCGTATAAAATAGCTATTGGGACGCTTTGTATTAAAAGTGTCATATAAACTTATTACAACGTCATGTCTTCGAAAATATCTATAACCATCATACATAGTCTTAGATGCATCCCACATTCTCTCTCTTTATGAGGATGAAATTTCCACCCTATTCGTTTATGATACATATAAATTTTTTGTCAAACGTAGAACAATGATCCCTAAGGTTAGGTTCATGTGAAACCAGTCTGTTTTCATGAAACCGTTTTTTTACATTTGAAACTTCACAGCAAAACGCTGTGAAGGTAAAAAAAACTGAACATTCAAAATAAAAACACTATGAAATTTCAAGTATAAAAAGGTGGTCTCACAGATCTCAAAAAAATTGGCTGATCTCATGTGATCCCAAGTCATTATTCCTATTCTGTTATTTTCAGTTTACTAAACACACTCATAAAAATAATAAAAATAATGGAATCAAACCGGGGGTGTAGCTCATATGGTAGAGCGCTCGCTTCGCATGCGAGAGGCACGGGGTTCGATTCCCCGCACCTCCATTTTTTTCTCCACCCTTTTTCGTGGACACGTGTTCAGAATCAAGCTCAAATCTGGTCCATCAGATTGTTGAAAAATGGCCGTCATTGATAGGGACTACTGACTTCCACTGGATCATCACACTCGTCATTTTTTCACTCACGCTTTCCGAGGCCTTCTTCACATTGCCGGTGTGATTTCTGCCCGCCGTTGACTGGTGGCCACCGACCACGATTTTCAGTCATCGGAATTTCTCACACACTTCAATCAACCAGCTGAAGATCTGCTTTGGCAATGGCTATACCATCACGTCACTTATTCGTCGATGGGGAGTGGAAAGAACCTGTGAAGAAGAATCGCATCTCTGTAATCAATCCCGCTACCGAGCAGATAATTGGTATAGTTAATCTCATCTCCAAACACACATACACACTCTTCTAGTGGTTTCCATACAACGGCGAACTATTTATTGTACAGTCTGATATTTTTGTTTTCCTGTTTTAAGCATTCAAGTTTCTTGTATTGATTGAAAAATACTCGTAATAATGATATGTTTACAGCATTCTTCAGACCCCAATGTGTTTGCTTATTTCTAGATGTTGCTTCTGGTTTCATTTGTTGGTGATTTTAGTGTCACCGTTTCATTTAGTGTAAGAGGTAAATATACGAGAGCTAAGGAGATTTTTACTTAGTTTTTTATGCAAGTTAGGGAGTGCACACTTGTAGAAGACTAGATTGATCCGGTACGAACCAAAAGGCGGGGTCAAGGGGGCCGCGCCCCGTTGCGGGGTCCAACGGAATCGTTTGGTTTCTATGGAAGAAGTGTTATGGAAAACATCACAGCCTCAGTAGGCAGCTTGTTGGAACTGATTCGTTTGGTTCTTGACGTATGGTTAGTTCCTAACAGATGTTTTGTTGGTTATTAGTATCACCAATATCATTTAAGTGTAATGGGATTAATTTGTTGACCAATGTAATCATGATAAATATTGAACAAGTGAGGAAGGTGCGGAGTGCACACTTGTTTGAGTTTATTTTGATTTAGGGGCGAATCCCCTAAATGACGGGTATCCGGGGGGCAGCGCCCCCGGTGGCGGGGTCCAAGGGGCAGCAGCCCCTGGCTGGGGTCGAATTTTATTCGGGTAATATTGCTTTATGGAATATGCATCAGAAATCCGAATTTTGGATTTTGAACCCGGTTTTTAAACCCGGTTTAGGGAGAAAAAACTGTCGTTTTTGACAGTTTTCGCACTTCTTGAATATGCGAATTGGTCATTTTTCCGATTAGAGAGTGGTACACAGATTTCATAACAATTTGGATTCGAAGTACTGTCAATCACGGAATTTTATCCGATTGAGATTTCGATTGTACCGTCGAAATACTTCAATCTGAAAGTGATAAACGACTTTTAGTGGATTCCAAACAAAGTTTTCTAACATGTTTTTGGTTCTTTAACTGTTGTTAACCTTCTGATAACCTTCCATAACTGTTTGTTGTTATCTAATTTCTGTAGATAACCCTGGTTTTTGGTTCTGGATCTAAGGATTGATATATTCAAAAACCAAAAGTAACATAATCTAATTTTCTGTGCCTAAGAAATTAGATTGTTACTTCTTGGATTATCCCATATTCAGAATTTCATGCAACCCAAGGCTATAGGGTCGAAATATCTGATTCGAAAAGTGATATACACGATCTATGATTTCAGAAAACTACCCTATTATTCATCTACCCCAACATCATTTTCCTAAAATTAGAAGTTATCTTGTCGTGAATTACTGTATTATATCTGCATTGTGCATAACTGTTGTAATTGATTCCGAGCTGTGCAAGTTGTTCGGGTTTTATATGTTAATTTATGTGTTCGGAAATTTTGTGTGGTCAGGGGATATTCCAGCTGCTACAGCAGAAGATGTTGCCGTTGCCGTGGAAGCTGCTCGCAGAGCTCTTAAACGTAACGGAGGGAAAGAGTGGTCATCAGCTTCAGGAGCGCATCGTGCCAAGTATTTGCGCGCTATTGCTTCAAAGGTGTGTGTTCAGTTTACTTCATTTTTCAGTTAGCAGAATTTGGTTGTGGAGCAGTTGGCTACGAGTTCAAATTTTGTTAATTAGGTTGCAGGGTAAAAAATCTTTTAGGTCGAATTGTGTTTTGAGATGAGTCCTGATATGTTGAGATTTCATAAATTTCCAGCTGTCTGGGTCCTCTTCGTGGGCTTACTTTTGCATGCATTATGCTAAGGAGTTAGTGGCTGTTGTTTTGGTTGTGCTTCGGTTATTAAGCAACATCAATGGTAATCAAACCATGTGATGGCTAAATTTAGTTTCTATTGGTTGCAATTGATCTGTGTGATTCTTATTGTTGGTTTCTAATTCATATCAATCTTGATCAAAGCTTTCTAAGTAGATAGGTTGCTTTTTTTTATCTAGTCCAGTAATGCTATACTTTCTCAAGGATTTTGAGTTAATCTCATTTAAGAATATTTGGTATAGCTTCCCATTTCTCGTGTTCTGGACTATGGTTACTGATTAAATGGTGACTGTTTATCCTTGGTTAATTGTGCAGATGCTGCATTGTTATGCTATTTAGTGAGAAACCTCTTACTGTTAATGCACTTCCATATGTTTGCTTTATCTGCATCAAATTCATAAAGTTCTCTATCCACATGCAGATAATAGAGAAAAAAACTGAATTGTCAAAACTTGAAGCCATCGATTGTGGAAAACCACTCGAAGAAGCAGCATGGGATATGGTATGCTTATTGCATATAATGACACACAAAGGTTATTCATGAACTAACCAGCTAATATGTTATGATATCTCTTTTTATTATTTAGGACGATGTTGCTGGATGTTTCGAGTATAATGCCGATCTTGCTGAAGAGTTGGATAGAAAGCAAAATGCATCTGTTGCTCTTCCATTGGACACATTTAAATGTCATATTATTAGGGAACCCATTGGTGTTGTTGGGTTGATCACTCCATGGTATACTTTCTCGACGTGTTGATTCTTATACTAGGTGCAAACATTCATGTCCTTGATGTTCTGCTCCAGCATCTAATTTTGCACCGTCTTCAGATTTTTGTTATCCCCTAAGTTAATTTATTGTGCATCAATTGAACTGTTGTGTTTAAGCACTGGATTAGACTTGGCATAGTAGTTTATGATCTTATTTTGAGAATTGAATTTTAAATGGGTTTAAGTTGGCCTCTTATCTGTTATCAACTGTTTTTTAGCTGAACAATATCATTTGGATTATTGCTCAAATGATTCAGACTTGGGTCTAAAAGTCTAAAAAGTCCAAAAGTTAGCAAGGGCCTGTTTAGGTTTTGGTATTCTTCTTGCATGTCACGAGTTCCATAAAATTTTCCATCATAAATTAAGGCATGGAGGCTTGGAGTGTGATCTCTGCATGCATATTGTTTCTCTAAAACACATTATTGATTATTAAATCACACACCTATTTCATTCCATGTCGAGTCATAAATTGTGAAAATTTTACTTCCACTCAGTGATGATTTGAATTGCTGAGTTGCTTGTATGTATTGGTTGCAATGGTGAGGCCTATTATACCTTGTCAGAGAAGATTTTAGTTACTTATTGAACATAAGATGGTTTACTTCTAGGAATTACCCTTTACTGATGGCTACCTGGAAAGTTGCTCCTGCCCTGGCAGCCGGGTGTGCTGCGATACTTAAACCATCAGAGCTAGCATCGGTGTAGGTACTCATTGGTGGAAGCTTGTTTTCTGTATTTCTGATGCTGAGTCCTCTTGCTTGCATTTATAATGTGCCATCCTCTTTCAGTACTTGCTTGGAATTAGGTGAAATATGCAGAGAGGTGGGCCTCCCTCCTGGTGTTCTCAATATTCTTACTGGTTTAGGTCCAGAAGCTGGTGCACCATTGGCATCTCATCCCGATGTTGACAAGGTCTAGTTCTCGTTTCTTTCAAATGTGATTTACTCCCGAAGTAAAAAAAATAGATGGCCACTATAAAAAAAAGCACACAGGTTTAGAAATGTGTAACGACTTTTAATGACAATTTTCCCCTAATAATAGAGGGAGTAATAAATCTCTCCATCTCATAATTAAGGGTAGAGTTGGAAAGTAGTTACTTACTTTTGAAAGTGGACATTTATTTTTGGGACGGAGAGAGTACTACTTTTACATGTTCCAGTTCACCACCACATTTTGTGGTCTATTAAATTTAAAAAGGTGTTCAACAACAATTATTCTTTTACAGATTGCATTTACAGGAAGCAGTGCCACAGGAAGCAAGGTTATGACAGCTGCAGCTCAAAATGTTAAGGTATCATTCAGTATCATACTATTTCTGTTTCAGTTCATTTTTGAGTGAGAAGGAGAAAGGAAAAGTAGTTATAGGAAGAGGCAAAGTGAGACATTGAGTACCTTAAACAGGAATCATGGATCCACTTTTTGACTGACATCATGTGATCATTTGGTTGAACTTGGATTTCTTTCTTCTTATATTATCTTTATACTCTGTTTGTTTGGCAGCCCATTACACTTGAACTTGGTGGGAAAAGTCCAATAGTGGTGTTTGATGATGTTGACATCGATAAAGGTTTGTTTCTTCTGGAGTTCAAGTTTTCATTCCTGCTCTCCCTTCGCCAAAAGATGATAAAAACACTCTAGACTTAAAGTTAATAGGATTGTGCTATTGGCCAGTCACTCTTTCAATCTGTGTGAGTTTTGATTAAATAATGTCGAACATATTAGATATTATCTCAATCATGTTTATAGATGAAAAGTTTGTTTTTCTTGATTGTCATTCAAACAGCTGCTGAATGGACGCTCTTTGGTTGCTTCTGGACAAATGGTCAAATATGCAGTGCAACATCTCGCCTTTTGGTGCATGTAAGTATGTCTATTGATACAGCATGTGATCTGTGACCTGCTCAAGCATTTGAATTGATCTTTCCGTGTAGCGTCATTGAGAGGATCACTTCTTTATCATTTTTATTGCCCTGCTAGAAGGAAGCCAAGAGACTAGTAATGATATGTTTTTTGCTTCTTTGAGTCATCAATTGGTAAAATAAGAGTTTGATGAAAACTCTTGAACAATAACCCTCTCCATAAACTACCAAGGCTTCGGCTTAGGATTCCATTTTTGGAATTCCCTGGAGGGATTGTCAGAGTCAGCTATGTTATCTTTTGCCATTGTCGCCTACATACCAGATAAACATTGGCAGAAACATGTGATTCGTAATTATGTATTCCTTTGATACTCACTATTATGACTTGCAGGAAAGATTTATTATGTAACTCAGTTTAGCTTTTCTTCATATTGTCTATACTCAATTGGATGAAAGCACCACAGCGAAGCACCAGACTTATTTATGTTTTTAGTTCTTGCAATCTTCAAAAGCTTGCAGGCTTCAAACTAGCAAACAACCACAAGTGTTAGTTTTGTTTTTAGTCGATGGATTCCATCTTAGGAACTATGAGTACTGGTATCACTTGGGTTTGTGCCTTATAAGTTATGTTTGTGAACTCACTTGCTCCCTCTCATATTCAGACAGGTCAGACAAAGACTTGTCTTATTCCTAGATGCCTTTCATATTTAAAAAGCCATGCATGCTTTGCATGTCCATACCCTCTTTGAAGCTACATACATTTACTTACTGTTGTCATGTATTTCCCTCTTAAATTTCTTGTCGTCAGTGTTTTTCTTGGCAGCCTTACGCATTTCCGATGACATGACCATTTATAGGAGTTATTGGAGGCACAGGACTATGGTAGTAGATTTAAGATGGGGACCTGTAGCTAATGTGCATAAGAAGTAAGGAGTTAGGGATGGTGAGAATAGGACAGGGGGAGGATTAGGGAGCCATCAGCTAGGGTATAAGAGGCTTGCGTTTGGTAGAGGGTGTTTGTGTTGTTCATACTTTGTATATGCTTTCTTTTCTTCTTTTTCTGCTGCTTAGTGTGCTATATCTTGCTCAATGTCTCCTCTCCTCTTCTCTGACACTTTGGCACAAGCCAGGGGTCTTCAGAGAAATAGCCGCGATACCCTTTGGGGTAGAAGTCAGGACTTTGTACATCCCACCCCTCCCAGACTCTGTTTTCGAGCGGGGTATAATGGGTTTGTTTGGTTTGGTTAGTGTTTTTCTGCACAAGTGAATATATTTGATTCTAAATCATTGCACTTGACAACAAGCTAAAAGATGCTCACTGCTGCTAGATATTTGGTGGAATAAAATCATCTAATATTTCAGGAAAGCATTGCTGAGGAGTTTTTAGACAAGCTTGTTATGTGGGCTAAAAACATCAAGATTTCAGACCCCTTGGAGGAAGGTTGTAGACTTGGCGCTATAGTTAGTGGCGGACAGGTAAGAAATGGATCACATTTTACTGTCCCTCTATTTCTATTACCAGAAAACAGATTCCTGTGGCTCTTGATATAAAGAGAAGAATGATTTTAGACGATGGGTAATGATTTAGATATATCTCTGCTTTGATCTCCTTGTAAGGAACCAGAGGGGCTCTGGTTGGTCCTCATTATTGGACCAGAGGATTCTAGTTATTGATTTGGAGAATGAGCAAGTTTTTACTAAATGTACTAATTGGACCAGAGGCTCTGTATCTATTGATAAGAGCTTCTATGTCAAAATCATATTTTTAGAAGTTTTTAAGAAAAGGATTTTATACTTAGAATCTTTTATGAAAAACAGACCAGAGAGGCTCTGGTTGGCTTACACGTTGAACCAGAAGGCTCTGGTTGATCATGTCTTTTGAACCAGAAGCTCTGGTTAGTACAACCAGAGGCTCTGGTTAAGGAMCMRRARSYYTGGAAGAGAGACYAGAGGGGCTCTGGTCCTAGTTATTGAAATATATTCCAAGTGTGGTTTGGAACCAGAGGCTCGATGGACCAAAACAGTATGATTTTAGTTTTGCTACATAAGATGAATTATTTGAAATAAATGTTTTGGTGATCTTCACCCTGCATTACATAAAAAGGGAACCTCACTAGACATTCATGTCTGACCCTCATTTCGTGTTTTCAAAAATATGTGTACAGGTAAAGATAATAAGGGAAAGAGCATTATGTGAATTACTTCCCTATGTGCTTAGCTGTTTTGGAAGCATAGATGCAAGAACATGTACTTTTGAAATTTTTGGGTTGCGTATTTTACATTGTATCAAGGACCTATGTGGGGGAAAACATGTATTCTATATATGAAATATGTGTTATATGCAATGTATGGATTTGGGGGTGTTACAGAGTTCAAAATTCTTTCTATGATTTCTCTTAATATTGGAAAATGTCATACAAGCAACTAGATTAGATCTATTGACTATTTCGATCCCAAGGTTTGTCGGCGAAAATTGCACTTCTTGTTTTAAGGTATCAAAACGCGTATGCCATTTGCTCATTTTGGTTTTTGGTGTATCTCATTGCTATTATATTGTTAGGCATTTGCTTTTTGTTGTTTTTCCACTTAATTATTAATCTTGAATATCTGTCATATGTTCACCTTATTTGGATTTTAGTAGTAATACGACTCACAAATATTACAACATTTGACCCTAGCAAACCGAAGCAAACGAATATAGTGATCCTATACTGAGTAGGGTAGGATAGGATGTATGCAGACCTTGTCTATACCCAGCAAATATTGTAAAAGTTGTTAGACTACATGCCAAATGGCCCTTGCTAATCTTGTGGACCAAACTTAGCTCTCCACTTCTGTAATGATAATTATTGGGACCATATGAGAGTTTGACTTCAGATTCTCCAAAAAGATGAATTGTTTCTATTTCTGTGTGATGGAGAGTGACCAAGACCACTGCATTGTATTGTTGCTTTTAATTTGATTGTGATAATGGGTACAAACTCTTATATCTGCTTTTGTTTGTGTGTATGGAATGAGACATTAGATTACTAACAAGTGATCTCTAATTAAAAATAATACTCCCTTTGTTCCAAAATAAGTGTCCACTTTCAAAAGTAAAGTGTCTACTTTCCATCTCTACCTGTACTTACGAGATGGAGAAATTCATTACTTTCTCTATTATTACGGGTAAAATCGTCAATTAGTTAATTAAAAAAATATAATAATTACATTTCTGCATTTTTTCATTGCGGGTATTTATTTTGGACGGGGGAAGTAATAAATTCAATACAAAATGAAAATGATAAGAGATACATGATTCCTTGGCTCTAATTGAGTGTATGACATTTATACCTTGTTCTCTTCATGTAATTATTACCCAGCCCAGGATGATCAAGTGTCTAAAGTTTAGCTCTTTGATCTTTCAGTATGAAAAGGTATTGAAGTTTATATCAACAGCCAAAAGTGAAGGCGCAACCATTTTATTTGGAGGGCAGCGTCCGGAGGTATTGGTCTCCTTTCTCAAACTATCCATCTTTGTCTCTGATGAAAATTGAAATGGCTTTTGTGTGCAGCATTTGGAAAAAGGATTCTATATCAAGCCAACCATCATCAGTGACGTTACCACATCCATGCAAATTTGGAAAGAGGAAGTTTTTGGACCCGTTCTCTGTGTAAAAACATTTACAACAGAAGAAGAAGCAATTGAATTAGCAAATGACACTTGGTGAGTTAACTTCTTTCAGCAGAGGACTATTTATATGGAATACGAATCATGTGTCCCTCCCTGTCCACCAATCAATCTGTGACACATCATCTTGTTGAAGAAAAAGAATGAAAATATGAATTAAATAAAGTAATGATGTGTCAAGAGTTAATTGATGGGAAATGTAGGGGACATGAAGTTTGGAGATAGGCCATCTGTATCTATCTAAACAATCCCTGCACTAGTTTTCATCAGAGTTCAGGTATTCAGTTTTTTTTCTCCTTTCAACTTATTTTATGATATGTTTATAGTTACGGATTGGCTGCTGCTGTAATATCCGACGATTTGGAAAGGTGTGAGCGTGTAACAAAGGTATCGGAAAGTCGTTAGTTTCCCTTCGTCCATTCTATTTTTTTATGTTCTCCATTCTCTGTATATGTAAAATGTACCACTAATTGAACCCTTATCAAGTCAATAATGGATTCTGAAAAAAAACGCAACTTGAACCCTTATTTTGTTTATCTATGAACGAAAGAAAATTTCGAGGATAGTACCTACAATTCGAAAAGTAGGTGATCTCCCTCAGGCGAGTAGCTCAGTTGGCAAAATGGCGGGAGCGACTTTGCTCAAATGCACAACAAGTTACCTCCGCTAGCCTTAGCCACTGAGTCACCTCTGAAATGCCTCTTCACATGTAGTTCTTAGGGTAGGGTGCGGGTTCCATGTGGGGCCGCTCAGGGTGTCCCAGTAATCAACCTTTTTTCTCAAAATATTGACCTATAAATACTCCAAATTTTCTATACCTACCCTACTGTAATTCAAATATGATCTCACAAAGCCACTTGTTTCAGGAAACTAATAACAATAGAAGATATCCTACTAATAAAAGACAACTAATTAATATGAACTAGTAATTGGCGCTGTATACATTCTACCAAAACGCCCAGGGGTATCAGATTCTTGTGATCAACACATTTATAGCCATCACGGATGCTTTTATTTGCATCTTATAACTAGATGAACCTGGTATATTTTACCCGGACGTGGGTTCCATAGAGGGTAAGAAGTACGCAGTCTTGGCCTCTACCACTAACAGTAGCGGTCGTTTCCATGTAGACCCCTAGCTCGATCTTGAACAAGAGAAAGTCATATATGATAGATAACAAAGGAAATGCCTTAACCAAAGGGTTTTTGGCCTAGCGGTATCCGGGTTACCGTGTAGTGCCCAACCTCCTAGGAGGTGAAGGGTTCAAACGTCATGAAAGCTTGAGAAGGGTTTGTGAGCTAATTTGCTGTATATTTATATACTTCAAAAAAGATTTAAAAATGACTTGGCTTAGAAAGTTATGTGCACCATGAGATGTTTTTATTACCATTTCAGATGTGTTTACTTTTTCGGTCATTCTGCAGGCTTTCCAGGCAGGTATTGTCTGGGTCAACTGCTCGCAGCCATGCTTCTCTCAAGCTCCGTGGGGCGGCAAAAAGCGTAGTGGTTTTGGTCGTGAACTAGGAGAACGGTAATTCACAACTTCCATACATTCATTACTGTTATAACAGCACCTTCACTTGCCTATTTTTCGAAATAAAAATCCCTACCCTTCCCAATCCACCAATCACGTGAAAACACAAGGAGAGAGAGCAAATGAAAGCACAAATTAAATGAAACAATTGTGTGTCTTCACATAATTGGTGGGACAGAGAGTGAACGTTAGACTATTATTTTTTTCCTTTTGTACACCCCCGACCCCCACCTTAAGGTGGGATGGGTGAGAACATCATTTTACGAAAAAGCAAAAACATTTTTTACTATAGTCAATCATATGTGATACTAGATTAGAGATGTGGGCGACCTTTGGGTCAAGTCGTCCGCACACCACCAGGTGCCCTCACGTGTATTATCACATGTGATTGACTATAGTAAAAGGGTGTTCTTGTATTTTTCATAAAATGGAAGTGTTATCATTTGAACATCCACCTATATACCTATATATAGGGAGGATCAAACGAGAACAAAGTCAAAACAAGAAAACGGCCAAATCATATGCGATTACAAACACGGTCAACACAAGGGGGAGCGGGCGAACTTAGGTCGCAGTCAAAGTCACATGAATCACATGTGATTTTAGTGTAAAATCACAGTGATTCAGTCTTTCTCATATTCTCTTATTTGGTTATATATGTATACGTACATATATATATATATATATATATATATATATATATATATATATATATATATATATATACACACATATATACATATATAATGGGCTCGTTTGGTTTAGTTTGGTTTACGGGTGCTCTCTTTTCAGGGGTTTGGAGAACTACCAGAATGTGAAGCAGGTGACTCGATATATTTCGGACCAACCATGGGGTTGGTATAATCCTCCATCTCGTGAGCTGTAAGGCCTCAATGTTTTACTCACAAACAATGGGCTGGTATGATCCTCCATCTCCTAACCTCTAAAAACTGTAAGTGTCAGTAAGATTTACAATAAATAAAAATAGCCAGTTTACCAGTTTGAACAAGTCAAACCGAAATGTCGATACAATCGTGGTGATTCGTGAACCAAGTTCTTGATCATATGTTCTTCAGGACATGCCAAGATCATTATTCGACATGCTAAATCCGTATTGTGTGGAAATATTTTGTATTTATGTCCCATTCACCACTTGAGCATCAACCCAATGCCTAATTTGTTTTAGACGTTTAATTGGTGGAGTCCCACATCACCATATCAGCTAGTCATAGACCAATTCAACCTTTATATATATGTAGGAATATACACC